TGAAGTCGTTACTAGTTAACGTTAAAGGGATGTTTGGCTCAGCAGAGCTCTGACTGTTTGTCAGCCTGGCTACAGAGCTGAAGACAAACCTGGTTGTTTCCACAGGAGCTACAGTATCCACAGTCGAACTTAACGAGGATGTAAAATTATTAACGATCATTCAGAAGCTAAGCTGAGAAATTTGCCTCAAAAGTGATACGAGTGCGTCCGATACGATCCACAAGTTTCTGCAGAGATTCTACAAACACAAAGCACTTCGATCAGACAGAAGCTGAATAAATGGTGATAATTTACACACAATTGATTAAGTTCAGCTTCACGACTCGGCAACTTTTCTCTTTTATAAATGTGTGTTCGTGCACAGATGTGACATCCCTCTTGCTCTCTTTCAAAGCCTTAAGCGAGTGTCCACGACTCGCATGTGTCCACGAATTGCGCGTGTGCACGACTCACGCGTGTCCACGTGGGGTTTTAAAAACAAGTTTTACTTTGCTGCTTCAGCTCCACAGATGGAAGCTGCGTTCAGGTTCCTGTGTAAAGCTGGGACATCTCGGCTTCCTCGTTGTTACAGAGCAGCTCTGCTGGGAAACAGATTTACCAGATGTAGTGTTCAGTATAAGTTCAGATCTCAGTGACGTTGATCTCACAGTCAGAGGAAGTTTTCTTCTTTTAAATCGGTGCCACAGGTTTGTCTGCTGGGGGCTGAGCTACAAAGCAGTGTTACAGCCACATTAGCAATAAAAATATTATTGAGCATTTCAAGAAAAAAGTCTGAACACTGTTTTGAGGAAAAAAGTGGGAAATCTACTTGGACGAAAAAGTAAAAATGTGCAGATTACGTTGTTGTTTCCACGGCTGCTGCACCGTCAAACGCGCTCCGTGCAGAGGAAACAAACTGATCGGCCTCCGTGTGATACAGCATCCATCCTCTTTATTGCAGGAGTGTGTAACCATCCAGCCTTTTCCACTCTCCCACGTTTGTGGGGTTTTCCATCTGACCTGATACTTACACTTTTCACCACAGCGTGACGAGTAAAAGAGAAATCACTTGTTAATGACACAGATCTGCAGTATTCACCATCTCACAGCAGAGTGTCTTTTCAGCCTCTTTGCCAGGCAGGTACGTTTAACCTTGGACTCTGTTATTTTGTGTAGATCTTTCCAGAGCCAGGCCTCGAATGGCAGTGAGGAGGAAACGAATGGCTGACAAATCAACCAGCACTTCAGACCCAGTGACGGAGGACGACCACGTGCAGGTACGTGTGCACTCAGACACAAACACAGTGACTGACACTTTACTCTGTAATCCAAAGAAAAGCACACAGATGTTTTTGTCCTCGGTTGCTTTTTGGTTAAAGTTTGGT